CATTGCCGGCATTCAACCATCGATCAATGCCCGCAGCTGCCATTCTCCCTAATTATTAGAAGGACATGATGAGATTCTTGAAATCCAGATGTACGCAGCTGGCTGGGATGGTGGCAGTGTTTGTTTTTCATATTTCCACAAAACAAAACAAAAAATACCACAAAACTATTTTTGCTTTTGACCCATAATAAGAAACAATAATATCAAGTGCCTCCATCCATTTCCCTCCTAGCTAGCAACTTGCAAGTCAATTTGCCGCTGGGGTTATGAATCATACAACTTTGGAAATGATTATGATTACTTCAGCAACGCACTTTAAGCATTATTAAGCCAAAAAAAAAAAAAAATTTCTCTCCCAGGCCAATCAAAAAATGCACACTCAAATTACGGCAATTTTGATACTTCATTCATTCTAGCACTTTGCTCCGGGGAAGTTTTATTAGATTCTAAATCTCTGAATCTGTTGGATTTTGGATAAATCACTGGACTTAATTATCATCCTTTCATTTCTTTATTTATTACATGTATATATTTTTTTTACATTCTTTGAAGGCATAGACAGACAGACATTACATTGCAAGAAGTGATGATTTCCTGCAGGGTTCGAGTTCATAAATTCCTCCTTTTTTTTTTTTTGGAGAACTAGAACAAAGTAGAAGAGAAACAAAACGTCCATGGGCAAGTCAATTATCACGAAATAGGCTATAAAGTGCAAGACTTTTCGAGCACAACATCAATTAATGAATGTAGAATGAAATTTAATGGTTTTATCCGACGTCATTAATTGTGCCACTGTATATATATATATCTTTTCAAAGGTCAGATGAAGGAAGTTTGCTTATTATTGTAGCAATTTTGTGTTGTTGACATCATGTTAGGTTGCCGGGTTGATGCAGACATAAATCATATCAAATGTGTTTCCTTAACCTTTCACAACCCTTTGGAGGTTTTCAATTGTATTAATTATTAACTTAAAAATTGCTCAGAAGCGACTCAAAATGCGGTTGTGATTGTCTGGAAAACTGTAGGGGCAAAGAGACTGAAAAAGGTGTGTCAGTTGATTTTTTTTGCGTCTCACAAATTATATGAGTTTTGGGTTTCGGCCTTTCACACTTTTGGGATTCAAATCAAAATGTTCAAACTCAATTTACAATTTTATATTATTAGTTTTTGGGCTCAAATCGAGGTCGGTCCAAACTTATAATTAAATACATGTTATATATAATATATATTTTATGATTATGAATTACTATATATTTATATATAAATTATTAAAATTTTATGTAATAATATGTATAATTATAAGCTATAGACATTAGTATATATACAATTATACTCGTACATGAACCCAATTAAAACTTAAACTCAATAGACTTTTTTTGAGTTGAACGGTCCAACGCCATTGACAGCCCTATCAATTACACTTAAAGATGAACATGTTATCCACTTGAGCTTAATATATAAACTCTTCACAGCATATGATTATTGTATAAAATTTCTCCACAAAGTCCCTTCAGTTACCAAGTATAAAGAGGGACTTTTAATTGAATTTGTTCTTTTTTTTTTGTAATTTTCTCTTGGACTATGGAAAAGATCGGATTTCTTAGTTAATTTTTATATCTTGGCTCTGGCTTGTTGATAGTTATGCTTCAAAAATGATATTTGGGTGACGTTCATAAAATTATATACTACATATTATTCGATATTGTCTATAAAAAGCTTTGTTTATGTTCGTCAAATACTCGAGGAATCTTGTGCAAATAATCTTCTTGAGAGAAAAAGTTTGAATGATCCTAACTTTCAACAAATGTGCACCCCCCAAAAAGAAAAAAGGATATGTAGAGTAATTTTGAAGGCTAATGATCACAATCAAAGTTCTCTTTCCCTGGTTCAGAGTCCACAGGCAGATCAAATTTTGCTGTTGTATCAGTTGGCACAATCGGTGATGCCACTGAGAGAGAAAGAACTCTCTCTTTGCCTGTAACCCCATGCTTTGAACTTCCTGGTGATCCTTCTATATCAGCCATTCTTCTTGTAGCCCAATAAAATCTGCTAAGCGGAATAAAAGAGTGCGAAGGAAAGATTGATCATCTGGGTATGTTCGTGCACTTCTTGGGATCTTTGGGTGGATAATATGTTCTTTTCATATAGGATAAAGGCGTTGACATTATACAAGTGTTACAAGATTCTATAATATACACTGAATATTCAACTAATTGATGGCATCTGATTCTGAATAGGATTAGCCTTATCCCAAAAGGACCATTAATTTTTTAATTCCCACAGGTGCTTAGGATCTTCGGCATAGCTTAATCTGTTACCATTTCTAAACACCCTCCTTCATAATGACAATCGTATTCCACCAAAATCTGTTATTTCAATAACGAGTACGATTTGAGGGATTTTGACGATTGACTTGTATAATCAACATATCAACTTGTTGAAACACCTTTGACGACTGCAAAAAGTAGCAATCTTCCTTCATATGGTAAGTTTCACCTCAAGGCTAACTACTAACACTTGTTTCTTTGCTACTTTAACCTTTTTCTGAAACATTTTTCATTATTTCTCAGTTTAATTTGCAACTAGAACTTGCTCTTGTTAATCAAATGAGTTGGAATCAAAGACTAAGAAGTAACAGCAAATTTGTTCACTAGCACAATATTTTACAGCATCCACCTATTGTAGACGGATTCCTAAAACGATAATATTGTTTATACCTCAATAATGTGCAGCATATTAATTACAAAAATCAAGGGTCAAATGAGTTGTATAGAATCAGCTATTTCTCTGACCATTTCCTGTGTACGGAAATAATGAATATATTATCTGAGAGAAGAGTGTGTTCCTTGGAAGTCTTGAATCTTTTGGGATGTGTAATTTTAAGGTCAACTGATAAACTTATCATCAAACATACATGTTGGCTGCTTATCATCCTTCTGTGCGGGAAGGTAGATGTAGACATAACCTAGTAGATGTACCCTTTCGTAAAATCTGGGAGTTCTTCAGGAGTATATAAATTTGAGAATTTGGTCTGATTGGAGATGAAGAAGTTTGAGTCAGTCATGATGACATGTTTACATTATTGTTTACGTTGTTGCTAGGGGCTGGGAACTGCGTAAAGACTTCCATGCATGATCCTTATGTCCTTGTGCATATACTTGCTCTTATCTGAAGATAAGAATGAAAAAAAAAACACATATCTACAGAACATTATTATTATTCTTTGGCCGAATCATTGCTCTATTATGCTCTATTATCATAGAAAGGCTATAATGTTCAATTAATAATGGCCATAATATTGGTATTAGTCTACCACCTTGAATCGGGGAAAAAAAAGCCATAAAAAACCAGAGCAGGATACTTGGATGGCTTTCTCTCTTTCTTTGTTTTTCCTTTCTTCACATTATTCTTTCTATTCCTTTTTCTTCATTTACAGAAAAAAAAAAAAGAATCCCTTTAAGTCCCTGTTTTTACCCGGTGAGCATGGCATCATGTCGGCAAAATAACCGTGAAAATGCTTAATCATTTTTTCTTCACAAGTCATTTGTATACATCATGTATGTATTCAGGGTCTTAGAAAATTTCATGGTGTTTTCTGCAGACCGAATCCCCTAGAGACACACTGAAAAATTTTCTGTTTCAGGTAAAGCAGAGTTACCGAAAATTATACAACGGAGATTAGTACGTACGTTAACTTAATTTCTTCCCATTTTTGGATTGTTTGATATGCAAAAATTCCTTCAGGACTCGATTTACTTACACAGAGATGGGCAATCTTCTCTCTTTACCCAGTAAACAATGGTCTATGCTGCATTGCCGGAATCATGGTAATTCGACTAAAAGTTCATATACAATGCCAAAATCCTGAGGATACATGTTCCTAATCCAATTCGAGAAAGCTGGAGAGGACAAATTTAAGCATTCGAACTTATAGATGCCATGCAGCTAACAGCATTAAACTCTGCTTTCTTAAATTGGAGCTATTATCTTTACAATCCAATACAAAAAGTCTCCAAGAATTTGCTGCCAATTCTATTCAAAACAGAAATACGTCTCCAGCATATGGCAGCAAACACTCTCTGTTTTTTGAGAGAACTTTGCATTGATTAAGTTTGTCATTCCACCACCACATCCACACTCAGGTACTCCCGTTGACTTATCTGTTTTCTCCACAATCATTGCACGACTTCATCCCAGCTTTTGTCAAGATTGAATCGACACGTACTTGCCTCTTATCCACTTCCTCTCGTAGCATTGACAATTTTCAGAGCACACGTAAACCTCGTGGATGACTAATAGCCATGCTGGATCAGTTGAAGAAATATAAGAAAGGGATGATCAATAAATAACATCTCCATCAGTTTTTAAGTTTATTGCCTGTTATAGTCTTGACATATCAGTGGTCACTAGAATCAGAGGATCCCAATTGACGGCAATTACAGTTGCAGCAGATATCCTTTCCTTCGGCTTAATTCCGACCAATGCAGCAGAGACCCTTCTGCTCAATTATTTATGGCGGCTGATATCAAGAGACTGTCACACTTTAGGAGAAATATTTTCAGTTTGCATCTAACAGGTTTGCATGCTCATCAACAAAAGAAGACTTTTCTAACGCCCCAGTTAGAAGTACATCTGTAGTTTTCTAGAACCAAACTAAAGAGTAAAATGCTTCACCTACATTAATCTAGGCCAAAATTACATAGTATTTTAGAAATCATAACAATTCAAGTTCCAAAGAAATCATCCTATGTTTACCAGCACCTCTGAGGGAATAAAATATTGCTGCTAATTTTTCACTTATCTATCTATCAATCACAATATGGAGAAACGTGCCTCCACAACAGTTTGTACATTAAGGAAGTCTTAAGTGCTCCCACTTCCCCTTCTTTGAACTGGTTTATAAAGCACGACTGTGACAAATTTAGAGCGAAAGCGATGGGTGACCCAAGTGCAACCACAGAGCGAGGACTCTCCCTGTTCTGTAGGTAAAGATGGCAGGTAACATTCTGTGGCAGCGGAAGGGACACAGAAGGATCTCTAGTTGGTGGGCAGTTAAGCATGGTCTGTTGCAGATGAGGGGGGACGAAAGGTGGTTCCCGTCCCTCATCTTCATTCCCAGGGTACACGTTGTTGTAACTTGAATCAGGGGACCTTGGAACCTCAAATCCTACAACAGTTGCATCCTGCGCAGCAAGTAAACGTTTAGGAACGGAAGGTTTAATCAAAACATTCACTGACCAAGTTTTTGAGCTTACTTGATCATCACGGCATGGGTGGCTCATTCTCAGAAATGGAGATGCAAACAGGAACAAAAACAAATTTGCCAGCAAATGTAGCTTGCCTGAATGAAGAACCTTGAACAGATTAATTTCTAGTGTCAGCATTGTGGAAATGTTTCATAAAAAGCACATATCAAGTACTCAATCCAGATATACAAACAACGTGGCATAACCTCATTTAAACTGAACTGGAATCAGATTTTGCCACAGACATCTACATTTATGTGTTAGTTCATGTCTGCTCAGAAAGTAGAACTGGTTTAGTTCAACACAAAAACAGATAGAACAGTAGTACAACTGTACAACCAAGACATTTGGAGGTTCTTTGCATCCCTTTGCAAGTGTAAGGTAAATACGAAACTACAAGGCAAGTAGAAGCTTTTCACAAAATTAAAGCTATTATTCCTTAAAACAAGGCAACCAAATACTCAGGTATCTGGATGCATCTGAAAATTCCAGCTTCGACCGCAACAAAAAATGCAAGTAATTGCACACATGCTCCATTTACCAGAATGAGATTATCTTATCCTTCTAGAAGAGGATAATATAAAGTTCAAGAGAAAAATAAAGGCAACAAACAAGTCTATAACAAAATTCCTACCGAAAATTTTAGCTTAATCCCAGACCATTCCAATGGGGTGATTTGGTCTAGACCTGGACATTGACAAGCTTATCATACGCCTTCATTTTACCATTTGTTTCAAGCCTTAGACCACCAAGCTGCCTATTTATAGCAACCATTTGAGCTCGCCTTAATATCACTCAGACTAGAAGTTCTTGCCAAGCTTCTAGCCCCTTATTGTCATGTTTGTTGTTAACTGCAAGCCATCCTACATATTGGTACCCACTAGAAGAAAAGGAATGAAATTTTCTTTGGCAGGTCTCAAAGCACACAACAGATTCTAAAAGCCCAGTGCTGGACGTCAAGAACCCAGACAGAGATCAGAAAAAGATAACCAAGTTCTGCAGTCATCAGTGGGTACATTATCCTATACAATACTTCCAACTACATAAGTCTTTATATCTAATTGTTGGCCCCTTATTTCCTTATTATTAAGGACAAAATTCCAGTTTAAGAAGCTTCACTTTCTAAAGGAAAACTTACAAAAAATTACAAGAGGAGAAACTCCAGTCTTAGGGTAAGGAATCTTAACTGAACAAATGAAGAACAGAAAACAAAAATAGAAAAAATAAGAGAATGAAGTGGGGCAGAGAGAAGCCAAAAGAACACTGACAATTAGCTGAATGTAAGGCAATATATCAGCCTTTCCAACCAAATAAGCGACTTTCACAAGGTGCTGCTTTCTACCTTTCACCTCATCTCTAGTCTCTAGAGACACAACTAGAAGCTATATGTTCTATAAAAAGAATTGTTGGTGATATGTGTAATATAGCTTGACTAAGTTCTGGCCTTTTTTGGCTGGCCAAAAGATGTAGTCACTGATGATACAAAAACTAACCAAATTTGTACACAATAATGTAGAAATTTGAAAGTTATTCCCTCCGTTCAGATTAATCACTTTTCAGGTTCTCAACTTTCATGGCAAGTCTAATGATCATGTGGATCAGGGGGCATTTGATAATAAAACTTCCAATGATCAGTGGTCAGGTTGCATTTGGTAATCAAACTTCTATCCTCTAGTCCAAAATATCAACTGAAAAGGATAGTGCATTGAAAGGTGGCTATTATAAAGTACATGAGACAAGTTCTTACCTTTATTAACTTTGATAACAAGAATACACTTTTCAACATCCAAAAATGAAAAGTGTGACATCAACAATTGGCCGTCATAATGCCTTTGATTCTCACAATCCTTATGGCTAAGAGAAAATTCTGAACAGATGGCCAATGTTAAGAAAGAATAGATTTGAAAGAAGTAGTCAGGTGGACTTGAAGATGAAGGAAACTTCTCCAATCTCAATTGCATTTGACACGACCACTGGACATAATCAATGTCATTTTACTTCCTCACTCAGGACAAAGCACTTTCAGACCCAACGATAGAATATCAACAACAGGACAAGCAAGGTGTCTGACAAGAGATAGAGATGCGTGAAAATTGCTATTTCCCATCTCACAACAATAAGATAGTCATTTAGATGAGTTCAAAACTCATATTTTGTTGTTGCATCTGGATCTTTTTTTTTTCGGGGTTGGGGGGGGGGGGGAGGGGTTGTACTCCAATCCAAGATATTGAGATGCACTGCACTTGGGATCCATGTTGCCTACACGTGACATGCCCTTACAGGTTACTGCATCCTGTAGAGGAATGCAGCCCTCCATTACAAAACAAACCAGATCTCAAGCCATACATATCCATTAGTATTCAAACACCAGAATCTTTACCCAAGTTGATTGTAGGAACATTTCAAACATCTTAAAATCCAGACACAAGAGTTATTTTTGAAACTTTAGAGTTAGTATTAAATATTATTCAATGCCTTGACCAGTACACCTAGGTTTTCTATTAAACTACTGAAATTGAAGGGAGCCATTGTCATGCCAAGGCATTGTGGAAATACAAAAATGAATCTACATCGTTGGCCAGTGTCACACATTTTGCCTCCGCCGACTTGCCAAATTATGTAATGTACATGATCAAGTGACCTCAAGGCACCAACTTATTTAGAGAAAAGTTGATCTAACCTACCCATACAACTCTCAAAAAATATTGTACTGGCGGACAAAAATATCATAGCGCATTCTACTGCATTCAAGAAAAAAGAATCCAGCTTTGCAAATATAAAAATCCTACATAAGAGATCTTCAAGCTGTCTGATGCAGGTTAGAGCTCGTCAGGTGATATGACAGCATCATTGACATTGATATATTAATTCTAGATGCTCGTCCTAAAATTTCCAACAAGCCAAACATCTGATAATTTTTCTTTCGAATGTCAGTAGATTGATGAAATCATGTTTTCTTCCACAATTTTCACATAGTTAGAACTATCAGCATCTACAAATGCAGGTCACACAAAAGCCCAGTAATGTTAAATGCCACCCTGTGTTATGTTCATTAGCATGACATATTGTCCTTTACTCTTCTAGTTTTGCAAAGTCCTATGCATAATGAAAAATGTGAGACAGGACAAGCATAACAGAAGCATTTTATATTTGGTCCCCTTGTCAGAAAATGACCAGGTAATAGGAACTAACCAAAAGGATGATAAGTTCCAAGCACTCAAATTTTCCACTTGTGTTAGCCACCTAAAAGCTTGGAAAAAATTAGAAGCATAGCCTATTGGGAGGCCAAACAATGACAAGAACCCAAGTGTCTAAATTTTTTAACCATATAAACTTAACACAATTCCTCAAAATGATTTTATGATCCAAATAGGGAAAAATGTTGAACTCATTTAGCAGTCAATTAATTTAATAAGCTAAAATACAATATTTAGCAGTTCCATTACACTTTGAAATGCCACAACTAATCTTCAAGGCACAAGCTATACAAATAAGACAAGCTCATTTAGCCCATCATAGTCCACTTTCCAAGATGGTCCAACATCATCCGCTACACAATCTTTTCAATTTACAACAGCTGAAAATGTTTATGCAATTAGACAATAGGACCATGTGCTAAACTTGGGTACCCCTCCCATTCCTAATATTTTGAACAGCTATCCACCTGCAATCAGGAATTGATCTGTGTCTATCTATGAGCACTTTTCAAGTGCCATCATATGACTTAGGTAGGATGACAAAATTAGTCCAGTTCGGAAAGGCTAGATAGAAAGATTTGTGCTGACTTGTACAAATATATATGCAGGTAATCAGCACATGAAAGGCAGTAATAAAGTAATCAATAACCTTACTCGGCTTTCCTATTAAAGTTGCATAGAAAACAGAAGTGTATGATATTCCTCAAAAATCTGTCAGCCAGCCAGCCATTCATATAATGAATACAAAACAATGGACTCCGTGAAAAGCTACATGTGTAACTCACATTTCAAATAAAGATATTCATCTTACATACAGGGCATCAGTTCTTGCAACACCTGGAAGAATTTACTTGATGCAAGTAATGGAATGTGTGTGATTCTTTATGACAGTGTTTCGCCAAAAGCAAGAAATTGCACGTATTAATCAATTTGACAAGTCAGAAAATATATCTTGCTAACTTAGAAGAGATTCTCGCCGCATGGTACCACAACTCAGTTTTCATGCAACTCAAAACTGTCCTTGAAAAGAGTATAATAAGCCACTTCCACCTAGATATGCATGTCATTCTAAAACACATGTAGCAGGCTAATATGCATAACCGACAATGCTTTAGAGAAGTTGACCAAGAGACTAGGGAGACTAGGTACATGGCTTTATTTATATCAGCATTGTGTCAATCAGAATTAGAAGTTAATTAAAGCCATGTCTAGATATATGCTAAAATTGACAAACTAAACATCCAAAAATAATATATAACCAAAGAGTGACAAGCCAAAAATCACACCTAGTGGCAAGAATGGAGACTGGTAAGGATCACTAATACATCGAGTCAATGGTTGACATGGATCCTTGGAATTTTATGTCTCCGAACAAGCAATAAGACTTGTAATATCAAACTTGATAAGTCCTAAAAGCTATCATCCAAAATTAGAAGCAATTCTCTACTTTTCTTGCCACATGGAACCAGAGCTCATTCTCCATGCAGGTTAATAACAGTCCTTGAAAGTACATTACAGATACTTTCACCAACATATGCTTCTAATCATAAAACATGTGCAATGAGCTAATGCAAAGTAACCAAAAATTCTTTAACGATGGTTTACAAGGCTTTGGAATAGTGAACCTAACTGACATCACCATAAAAAACCAAAGAAGTGTTCCTACATTGCTTTAATTATCATTTTCAAATAAGAGAACTTAAACTAGATCAATCTAATCCAAGTCAAGTTAAATGCCAAAGTTGACTACAAAAAAAAGGCCATAAACAATATAATAGCTGAAAATACACCAACTAGAAAGAATTAGAGACTGGTAAGGATCACTAAGATAGCAAGTCATGGTTGACAAGGACTTCAGCATCTCCGTTTTCCTTTCCCTGTTCACAAGCACTTCTAGTAGTTCTTTTCCGCTTCCTAATTTATTCACAGTTAGCAATTCCATCAACCAAATTATTCATTTCCGAGAAAAGGAAGAAAAAAAAAAGTCCCACCACAACATTTTCAACAAGCACCGAAGACTGAGCAACATCAAAGAACTAAAAATCTCTTTGCATCAGGATATCAACAGTAAAACATTTAAAAAAAAAAGAAGGACAACATTATCACCATAAATTTTACTTAGACAAATTAGTACAGCTGACCTTACTAATATCTAGCCGGGCACCTCAGATGTCAGCAGCAGCTTCCCAAAACAATCCTCCTCTCTGAAAAATTGATAACATGGAAGAATCAAGAATCAATTTTGAAACCAATTACGGCAGGTCCAACAACTTATCTGTATAATTCAGGTTACTCTTAATTTTAGCCCATGTAAGATTTCCCAAAACTCATCCAATGAAAACATTCCTCCAACAAAAAAGACCCAAAAAAAGAAAACCTTAAAATCCCTATTAAGTAACAAAAAATTTTTTTTGAGATATGGGCTAGGCGCGACCACGAATTGAAATCACTCAAAAGGTGAAAAGAGGGTGAAGAGTTCAAAATAGAATTCCAAAACAAAACACAACAAAACAAAAAAAAAAATGCTCAAGTGAAATGGAAGGGAAAAACGGAAAAGAAATTTTTAGTGTAGCTTACATGCAACTATGGGAAAGGAAGTAGCAAAAATACCTTGAAGATTCCGCCGAGAAGAAGAATCATTCATATAGGCATTGGTGTGTGCTTTAATGATATATGAATATATTTTTTAAATGAGGAAAAAGAAATAGAGCAAGTAAGCTGAAATTTATAGGGAAAAAGTCTGGAACTTTGGCAGATGAGAATGTGAAAATGGGCCTGGAAATCAAAACGTACTAACTTAGTTGGACTTTTTGAGATCTGAGGCCTACATTTGTGAACATTTGTATGTATTGGTTTTCTGAAGTGAGGATCTAAGGGCCCAATTTGGATTAACCACTTGGTGGGAGGGATCGACAGAATTGGGAAGACATAAGTTGGCGTATATAGGAGTACAATATTTCACTTTTGGACATTGTTAATGGCACTTTAATTTTTTTTTGGTCATATTTTATGTAGGAGTAGTTGTTCTTTTTATTTTGTGATACGAGAGTAGATCAATTTAACTTTTAAGTGCTTATCTATGGAGTGTCTTTTGCAGTAAATAATAAAAGGGAGAGGGTTGGCTTGGACGTTAAGGTAGAAGAGATTATAAGGAAAGGGTCTTGAACACCTTGAATTTAAGATATTTTACTTTAATATAAAAAGAAAAGTAAAATGCCAAAAAATAGTAAATAATGTGAATTTTTTTTCCTTCTGTTGAAGCGATAAAGAGACTAAAAAGAAATTTTTATTTTTTTTATCTTATTAATTTGAACACAAATACACACGCATGCACAGAATAAAGCAGCTGACTTGTAGATATTGAGTGATATCTGAAATGTAATTTTACATTAAGAAAAGAAAAAAAGAATTCCAAATTTAATTTCTTACTAAAAGAGTAGCTCACTTTTACTACTCTCTCCCTCTATACTCCTTTTTTTTTCTCTTTTAATATATAAGAGGATCAATCAACAGTGATTTATCGCCTGTTTCTCCATGACTCGAATCCTTAACCTCTTGATTAGAGACGAAGCGCCTTATCAGCTAATTTGCTTTCGCTGTCACATTGTACGTTGTAGGCTTGCTCACTTTGCTTCTCATTCCAACAAAAACAAACCCTATTGGGGATGCTACTGAAATGTAAAAAGTTATACCTATTGATTTAATTGCCAATTTTTTGCAAGTATGAGTCACAAAGCTGGGTGCAGAGGGTCTTAATTAGCACCTTCTGCCTTGTTATTCCCCAGCTGACTCGACCACTTTGTGCTGTTTCTAATTTTCGTTGCATGATTAGCAGATGGAGATCTTTTACTACTACTTTTCGAGGCGAGGCAAAGGCAATCCTCGAAGAAGTGCTTCCTTCAAACCACTTGTCAAAAAGCCAGTAGATGAGATGCCCAATAACGTACGTATGCGATTTAACACCTTTTGAGGATGAAATGGATTAATTAACTACTCTGGTATTTTATTGTACGAATGGATACTACTAGTTGTGTATAATAAAACAAGATTTATCATCAAAAAGCCAGTAGACTCATTGGTTTCTCAGTACTTTGGAAGAGATCATCATAGAACAAGATGTGCTGTATAAATTTATAATATATAATAACAACTGGTCGCCTTTTGACGATGGGTATGGATATGGATATGGATGAATTCCCATTAGTTTAATTAATTATTGAAACGGATTAAGATCTGCAAATTCTTAATTAAAAAGGTTTGCTTCATTGCTCCACTGCTGGCATCTTGTTCTGTGTGCATTTGCTGTCTCTTCGACTGGCTACGAAAAACATTTTTAAATAGGAAACTAACGATTATTTAACCGGTTAATTAGTTTGGATCTAACTGATAGATTCCATCCTAGTCCTAGAGTACGAGAAAATGTTGTTGATTCAGGTGACACGCAATTGCAAAGCTCCAGCCATGTGTGAGTCTGTTTCTTTGCAGCATCTTTTTTTCCTTGAAAACGTGATCTTCAATTTAACTGCAGTAGTTCCTTGATGCTAGTCATCAATCAACGAGGAATGTTAGTAGTCAAAATGGGATGGTGTCTCAGCACCTATAAATTTAGTAGTATCATGCTTCTAAAAACTCTAGAGGCATAGGATGCCATAATTAAATAAGAGTAAATCTTATATATACTGATAGTGTATGTACACTTTCACTGTTGGATTCATGATACATATGTAATAGTTGGAGTTCAAATTCAAACTCTGCATAGTTGTCATTCATCCAATGCTGACAGCGTATATACTGTCAGTGTAGGAAAAATTCATCCATTAAACAAATTAAAATAGATGATTTTGTAGCTGAATGTTTAAAATATTTTGAAATAAACTCCTAATAAATTAATCTCCACTAAAAACATCCTGAGTGAGTGATGTATGTGAAATAAATTTTTCGGTGACAGCTTAGTAATTAGTATCATCTTCTTGTCTGGAGATACCAAAGATGCCATTAATCAAAACAAAATACACGTTCAATTGTCAGACGAATTTATATTAATCTTTCACTGTTTTGCAGCATGGTGTCCAAGAATGTGCGTAACCCTAAAAATACACCTTGGGGGATCACCTACTTTCAAGAAACAGCCATGCTCTCTGGCCCTCCAACTCCTCCCTCCTTTTCAATGGTGTAAAACTGGAAAGTTGTAAGGTACGCTGTACACTAATAGACGGCTTTGTTTATCTACAAATAGACGATAAACTTTTCAATTTCTTAAAGGGTATCAATTGGTACAAATTTAATCATGGGAATCTTTCCTTGTATATGTGGCATGAATTTGATCATTACTCTACCTTAATGATGTACAGCATAGATTTTATTCAAACAGAAGAAGAATAGATTTTATTTAACGAGGGAACATATATGCTAAACTAGCAGACTTAAGGCTGTGCTTAGCACAGCCCATGCCCACTTAAAATTTCAAGAACAATTAAGTAGACATCATTCTTTCGCATAAAATCAATAGAAGACAAAAGTAGGATATATGCCCACTTATGTGTATTACTAAATACAAGAGTAAATCTTTATCCTATCACTAAATATTAATTAGTAATTAGTGATTTGGTTAACTAACTATAAAATTTTAATGGAAGTTGATACATTGGAGTTTAGCTTAACAATTAAATTTGAAATTCTTATTTATTTCAATATTGTTTGAGAATTGAGATTGTGACTTAGAAATTAGGATTATGAACCCTTTTTTTTGGCATATCATGTTTGTTTGAGTAAGTCGATTAATTTTGTTGAAAAACATATGGGATATTATTTTGTTATAACAATTTTTTTAGAGAATTAAAATATTTTAACTCACTACTGATTCTCCAATCCAATTTATCAAATTAAGGTTTGGACAATAGTTGTATATGGGTCTTAAAATCAATTCCCAAATTACCAAAAATTGTTTTACCGAATTTTTATTATCGACCAATAAATACCCATAAATATAAGAGCCAGATTTGTTTGATTTTGTACGAACAAAAGGCCAAAAAAAATGCAATGGCAAGAATAGCAATATCCAAGAAATGTTAGCAAACTACTTGTCAAATTATTACAAAGTCACGTGATGAGCAAGGAGGCAAAGCACGAAAGTTCGCTTCTTTCTTATATAATAGGTAGATAGAAATAGGTGCCCGTATGCAGGTTTGTTTTCAACATGGTGATGTACATTTGAAGCATAGCATCTTGTTTGATTGAGTCTCTTCTGCTTTGACGTTTCAGGGCTTATCAGAGTCATGGTTTCCATTAAATCTCCTCAATTAGTCAATTATGTCTCTAACTACTCTGCAAATATTATTGATAATTGAACTCGTATTGTTCTTGACTTCTTTCCATATGTTTTAGAATTTAATTTTAGAAGATGTTTTAGATGATACGGTTGGGTTGGTAATTGACAGGAGTACCCCCCCCCTTTTTTTGGCACGGGTACAGCTAGTCAATATAGTATCTCCTTCAAACTAGTTCTCTGTGCATATGCTTTCCCCTCAACTAGCATCTAAAGCAATTTTAAATAGTAAGAATGAATATTTAACCGGTTAATTAGTTTGGATTTGACGAACGGAATCAACCCTAGTCCTACACTAGGAGAAATGTTGATTCAGGTGATAACAATTACCAAACTCCAGCCATGTGTGAGTCTGTTTCTTTGCAGTATCTTTTTTCTTGATAATGTGATTTTCAATTTAACTACATGAGTTCCTGAATGCTACTCATTCATCAAGGTTCCATGTTGGTTTCCTCAAAAAAAAAAAAATGTTGCACGTTAGTTTGAAATGGGATGGTGTCAGTACCTATTTTTAAAAAAAAACACTATATTAGAAATGCATTCCTCAATGACAAATAAATTAAGTAATCTCCATTGGAAACAGTAATATTATCTCGTAGATATCCCATCACAAAAGGTGTTATAGTAAGGCCATGCTTGGATTGCTTGTTTCCGTCGGAAAATATTGTCATTTTCCGTGATCACATTTTCCTATCACCTTTTTCCCTCACATATATCAAATCGCTACAGTAATTTTTCCATGAAAAATGACGGAAAATACAATACAAACACAACCTAATTATTTCAAACAATATTTTCAATAATGCTTTATTCAAACAGTGGGTATCATCCCCTTGTCTGTAGCTATGATTAATCAAAACAAAATACGCATCCAATTGTCGGACAGATTTATATTTAATCTTTCATCGTTTAGCAGCTAGGACGGTGTCCAAGAATGCGCGAAACCCTAAAACACCTTGTCGATAACCTATTTTACGAAACAATCATGCCCTCCAACTACTCCATCGCTTTCAAAGCTGTAGAACTGGAAATCTATCTGATATCTAAGAATAAGACGGCTTCGTTACTATAAATAGACGAAATAGTTTCGCTTTTCTACGGTATTTTTTGTACTTTAATGATGTATATAAATTTGATTCAAATAGAAAAAGGAGCATGCTAAAAATAGGTGCACATATGCAGGTTTTCAATATTGGGATGATGTACATTTGAAGTATAGCACCTTATTTGAGTCTTTTCTGTTTTCTTATAGTTTACTAAATCAATTTGTACGGTTTCTTTCCGTATTTTAGAACTTAACTTAGTTGTAAAAGATGTTTTAGATGGTACGATTGGTTTGGTACTTCTAGTGCTTTTACGAGTAC